TGAAGCATTCATCGCACAATCAATTCCTCTGCAGATTTCCACACTGCTGCAATGGTTTAATGTGAGGTTTGGAATGCTTTGCAAAAGAATTGACTGTGCAATATCATTATATTGTCTGCTGTATAAAAAATTGCTAGGGATGGATAAGTATCACCAAGATCCCAGGAACAGTCAGAGATCAGTCCCTGCAACACGCCTTTGCACATTTGCCTTGCTTTTAGAAGATCAGTGAAGTTTCCCTGGAGAAATTTAAGGGCTAATCCATGCTCTGTGTTGTATTGTGTGGATCAGCAGTGCAGGAGTGGGAGAAGTATAATTTACTGCAATATCTAAACATAGTTCCTAGGACGGATGGAGGGACATTGACAAAAAATGAGTCTGTAAAATTATTTTTAGTCTTATGATACATGTGCTCTGGTACTTGCTGCTAGCCACAATAGTGTCCTGCCTTGAGGCTGTGACATAATTTTTTCCATCAAGAGAAAATCAAGAGCTCAGAGTCCAGCTATGTCACAGAGTCACACAGAATCATAGAATGTTAGGAGTTGGAAGGGACCTCGAAAGATCATCTAGTCCAACTCCTCTGCCAGAGCAGGATCACCTAGACTAGGTCACATAGAAACGCATCCAGGCGGGTTTTGAATGTTTCCACAGACGGTCTCCACAACCACTCTGGGCAGCCTGTTCCAGTGCTCTGTCACCCATCTCATAAGGGAGATGACCCCAGGGCAGGTTCTGTTATGCTTAAACCACCCTGCACCCATCTCTGTGAACAGCCTCCAGGAACAAAAGAGATTATGCTTCCTCCCTGAGGGACTTGTCTCAGGGCCTGAGTTACCACTCAGAGCTCCTCCCTAACAGCCAACCTGTATCACCTTTGAAGCAAATGCAAACCATTGCTATTTGTCCCTTCCACAGTAATTTGGAAAAAGGAAGCTCTTTGTAGTGTGCTTTTTGAGTTACATATTTTTATCGCATCTTCTTACAGCCTTTTCTAGGCTATAACGAACTTTTCTTACAACTTCCTCCCTTCAAAGAAATCAGACCCAAGCAGACACCAATCCTCCCTCGAGATACTGGTTTGCTTTCTTGCACTACTGGCCTTTGCAAGTGACAGCAACTGTTCCAACATACAGAACTCCTGCAACAGGCTCTAGCGAAGCAACAGAAAACCATCATCTGATAGAAATGGGAGACTCCTCCCGTGTTAAGTGCTGCCACCCATCTAATTGGAGTGCTCGCAGACTATAAAGCAGCCATTTTCCACTCTGGTATTGTAGTGATACAGTTATCCTAGTGGGCCTAGGCAATTGCTGCTGCTTGAGTACGCAGTTCTTGCCTTATATAGATGCTCCAAAGGGGAAGTAAAGCATTTGTGTTTTGCAACAGGCCAGTTTGTTCCAGTAGCATACAGGGTGAGTGGTCTCCTGGTTTGACCTTCTGGAGGTTTTCCTAAGCCAGGTAGTTCACTGTAAAGTTAAGGTGGTTTTGTGGATGTCTGTATCACTGGATGTGAGTCAAGTTTAGTCTGCCTGTAAAGGCAGACATTCAGTATTCACTATGAGTTCTTTTTCACATGCAAATAGGTGCAGTAATGAGAGAGGTCAGTGGAGAAAGGTGGGCTGCAGCTTTGTCCCCACAAGTGTTGTATAATTCTAGATGAATTTGCATTTCAGTGTGCTTGCCTTCATAAAGACTTAGGTAAGGATATGGAAGTTGAAGAATGGAGGAAGATTTAAAAAGAAGCACTACCAGCTGTGTATGGGTACTTTAAAATAGGTTTATGGATTGGTTCAACTGTGAAAGCTAATTATTAGACTTTTCATCATAAAAAGTCTTCTCTTCCATAATTATGTACCAATTATTTCATGGACCTTAAATAGCCAGGTAGGCAGTGTTCATTTGACACATTGTCCCTTAGCTACTGTCTTGTGGTAACTGTCTGTTTACAACAGTGGTTGTTTCTCCTACTTTATTCATTACTTGTGGCTTTGTACCTTTATCTCTCTTCAGTAGCTGTATATTAGTAACTCAGTCATCTTACTATGGACTGAACTTGTCAGTCAGCAAGTTCAGGTAACAGGATGGCTAGAGAGAAGGGTGTGGATAGGGAGAAGGCATGATTTTGATGTTGAGGAAAGATTCAACAAAGGAATGGGCTGCATTGGATTGCGGTTTAGAATCCAGGGACCTCCGAATGTTTTTGTTAAGCTAGACTTAATCTTCTGGAGAAGCAAATGGAAAAGACAAAAATGTTTATCTGACTTTTAGATATTCTCAAACCTGTTGTTTGGCTCTAAGGCTTCTACTAAGATCATGCTCTAGGCCAGCGAAAACCATGCTGAGATCAGCCTATGGCAAAGCTTTTGCTTTGGATTTGCTTGATGTCTTAGGGCTAATGCTTTGTTTATTAACAATGAAGACCTGAAATAGGCTTAAAAATGAACTTGCCTCTCAACTCTTCCATTGTCCTTTACACACAGACTCTTGCACAGAAGCAGAGTAATCTTTACATTTGAAGTAAGCAAGTGGCCTTGGCAGCTGAGTGTAAAACTCCCACTATCAAAATACTTTTGCTGTATATGAAGAAATAGGACTTTGTGGATGTTAGTTTCTAGGCATTCTAGCTAAATAAACCTGCGACTGCGTTTGGTGTGGCTGTTGGAAAGGAGCAAGCTGGCCTTTGTGAAATGCCAGGGCCTCTGAGAAGGTGTTTTGCTGAGGGTAGCACAGGCTCAGCTTGCCTTGACTTTCTCTGGCTATGATTGTACAAAGTGGAATTGTTCTATTAGGTAAGCCAGCAAACTTAATTAGTGTTTAATCTTCCTTCTGTCACCATATTCACATTCAAGGCTTGTTAGTTGTTCGCAAAATTTGGAAATAGGAAGGAATTTGTTTGTCCCTTGACAAGTAAGCTGTATCTAGGGATTTTGGTTGGTTTCTTTCAAACTGTTGGAGACCAGCCACAGCTAAAGCTGGGAGGTGATGGTCTGACTAATAGTATTAAGTTCCTCTGGCCCCTGGCTGCTCTGCTTTCATATATGCCAGGTTAAACCATTCAGCAGACTTAAATTCAGGAAGGGATTTACCCCAGGGTAGCCTGGGACCATGGTAAGTGTTTTTGTCCTTCTCTGTCCTTTCAGTTTTTCCACAGGTGGTCTTCAGTATAATGAGTCCCCTGCTGTAAAAGGCCCGGGCAGTGTTTTGATCTCTTCTCCTCCCTTTCTGTAGCATAGGCTACCTTACCAGAGGCCTTAAGTTTGCTGCTGTGCTAGGTATGTTCTCGTGTAGAGCATATCTTAAAGACTTCTAGACTAAATATATAGTATGTGTTTATATGGTTTGGACTGCCTAGGTTCTTCCAGGCTCTAACAGCCAGTAAAGATTCATGGATGGGTGTTCAGGCTTAGAACTGCCCCTTTCCTCATAGGTTAGCTATGCTAGAGCTAGCATGTGTAGGCTTATGCTACAGGTGTCTTTCTTTTGCAGATGCTCTAAGACACCAGTTGTTATTGCATGCAATTGCATTGTAAAATTGTTCTTCCTCCATCAAAACTGACTTTTTACTTAAAGTAAACCATCCTTTACTGTCCACCATCTTATTGCCAGTGATCAGTGAAGTTTACCATACTTGAACTTCAAATCATTCTACTTTAGTTGAGAAGTTGCTTAATGAAAGATTTCATTATGTTGCAGCGCTTAGCATCTCTGGATCTGCAGCATTGCTCTGAAAGCAATCAGTGTGTTAGCAAAAAAGCCCAAAACCAAACATGGCGGCAACCAAGGTTTAAGGATGTGTAGGTGTTGGTAGTCTATAGTGATCTGTCTGAATTTAATTCCATCTCAGCTGACAGGGTAAGGTCCCAAGAATGCCTCTTAGCATCTTGGAGCCTTACTTCTCTTGATTTGGGGAAGGATGCCAATAAAGGGAACTAACTAAAGGGAAATGGGCTTAGAAAAGCTCCAACTGCTGCTAGAGGTGGGATTCTTGCAAAATGTTAGCACTGTGGCCTCCCAGAAGTTAGGTGTTGGCTGCACCACAGTGCCTGCTTCTGAATGGGTTGTGAAACCAAGGCTGTGATCTTCCCTGTGCCCTTGTGATTTCTCCAGGGACTCTGCTAGCCTAACTCCTGACACAGAAAGGGCATAGAGACCTGAATGATGGCTTGTGCTGTAAAACTTGAAAGCAGAGTTTTAAAGACCCAACCATGTTATGTAAACAGTGTGCTGTATGTGTGAAACTTGGATACTGAAGGGGTTATAGGCTCTTTAACATAATGGGTCTCTCTTCTGATTTCTAATCCCAGACCCTAGAGAAAGGTGCTACTTCTCTGTGCTATGGAGGGTCAATGTGAGTTCATGTCTGCAGTGTGAGGTCCTGGCTAAACAAAAGAGCACAGTGTAGGCCCTGAACTGGAAATAGGAGTGATGCAGTCTTATGTAGAACTCTGGACTCAATGCCAAATGGCAGCAGGAACTATTGGGCAGCAGGAACTATTGGGCATCAGGACTGGTTTGGTTTTTTTCATCATGAAATGAATAAGCAACTGAAAGATATATTTGGATATCTGTAGCATTACAGATAGTCATTGACAGAAATAACTTCTTGGTCCCACATGGACTCACTTTCAGGTGGATTTTTGGATTTTCATGATCATAAATTAATGTATTTAATTTTTTTCCTATAAGGTCTGAAAGAATATTTTTCTTCAAAGATGCTGTTTTTAAATTGATTTGAGACTGCAAATAATTCAGGTTGGCAATTCAGATGCAAGTTTCCTTTGAGCTTGGGTGTTATTCATCACCAGTCCATCTTCACTAACTTCAGGGGAATTTTTCCTACCAGTAAAGCAAGCACAGGCTCTGAAGCCCACTGTAGTGAAGACAGTTTCTGAATCTGCCGGGCTTTAAATCAAAGGCTAAAAGTATTGCAAGAAATGGGAACCTAACAAATGTAGGCTTTGAAACTCCTTGGCCTTCATAATGTGCTAATGGCGCTACTAATTGACATATACATTGGGAACGTGCTGGTTAGGAAAGATCCATTGTTGGTTGGAAGGCTTTGGCATGGCAGCTTTGGCAGTCATGGCACCCCAATTGGTGAATTGTCTGTACTCACTAGGCCTCAGGAGGTACTGCTGTCCTTGGCAGTGTGGCTGTTCAGCAAAAACCGAGCTTCCTTCAAGTATGTTACAAGACTGGATGTCCCTGTAGTGAAAGTCATCCTGGAGAGAAGAGCAGTTTTCCATGAACTCTAACATGCTGCCTCCAAAGTGTCAATGGAGTCATTGAAGCCCATCCAGTCAAGGTAGTCAGGATATTCTCCCTTCCTTGCGAAGTACTGATGGCCTATGTAGTTTGGACATTCATAGATCATCCAGCAGCCAGTTTGCACCTTGATAGAGCTGTAGTGGTTGAAGTGAACATGCAGGTCTGTCTGGTCTGTGGTGGCTTCCCAGGAATGGTCCTCAAAGTCCCTGTCCTTGAAGAAAGTGATCTTCAATAAACCAAAGTCACACTGGAAAGTACTTGAAAGCTGGCTTTTTTTATTTGCCTGGATTATACAAAACAATCCAAAGACTGCAAGGGTCCATAGAGGTGCTTCTACTAGGCTGAAAGAACAGCAAAGCCCTTATGTCCATTTTCTGTAGGATCCACAGACAGTTACTGGTGTCTTAATTTCTCTAGTACTGTAAATGACAGGTAGATGTCCTTTTGGGACTCTGGGAAGTGGAGGGCAACTTTCAGCATGATTTCATGCTGGAAATAGCCAGTCAGCAGCTTCATAACAAGTTTTCTGAGCATTTGGAGAAAGTGTAACCCAAATTACTCTTTCACTGAAAGCTCCATGGATGGCTTCTGTGTCCACACAATCATTCAACTTTGTGACCATCTCCTGCACCCAGTCGTGGGCTCCTAGAGATCTTCTCCAATGTAGAATACAAAGGAAGGAATAATTCTCCTATATCTGAATTGTGCTGAAGCTGGCGTGTTTTTTACACAGCTCTAGTTATGCTTTTGATGGATGTTGTAAGTGGCATCACTCCTGTCAGCCTCTCTTAGAATTGCTTCCTCAGCTGGGAAATTGTAACCTTTAACACTGAAAGCAGATTAAGAGAAGAGTGAATTTAAGTCTAACAGTTGCTTCTGAATACCTCCATGCTTTCTTTGGATCAAAAGTTACTTCTTCCTGATGGTTAATGCTAAGCAAATTGAATTCAATTACAGAAAAAATTCTATGTGCAGGCTTGTGCTTGCATTTCTCAAAGATCTTTGACAAGCTAGGAAGTGTTATATGCTTTTGATCTTCCTGTGATCATGCTTGCTGTGTGGAGTCAGCTTGTCTTTAGGGTCCCACATGGTCCTTCATAGTCTAGTGGGCATTGGGCCTGGTGATGAAGTGGTGGAACTTAAGACAACAGAGAAGGGGCAGTGATATGTGAATTCCTTATTGTAGCTACAAATGTAGAGTAACCATCGTGATTCAGACCAGTGGTCCAGCTAGTCAAGTAACATGGCAGCAACCGTGTCCATAAGTAGGCACTGAGGGAAGGGTAGATATGAAACAAATACATACAATACTTTGTTCAAACTTCAAGACAAGTATTTTTAGCTCAAGAGGTTTTCTGGGTGGTTAATAAGCTTCAGTTGACTTGTCCTCCAAGTTCTCATCCAGCTACTCCTTGAACTCTGTAGACTTTCCACTCCCCTATGCCACAGATGGGCTGTGCAATGCAGGAAGGGCTGTGGCTTGATCTTAATCTTTGGAGCCAAAGTATCTTGTTAGCCAAATGGTATCCATGGTATCCATGATCTGAGGAGTCAGGTTCTTTACATCTGTTCCAACTGCCCTTAACTAGTATACTGTTATGACAGCTGCTTTTACGTGGAGATTGACTGCTTTTGCACCCCAGAAAAATTCAAGCATAGGGATAATCTGAGAAGAGCAGTGAGTGTCTGTGTAGAGAAACATACTCTGCATGCCAGCAACTGTAGTGCCTGCTACTAACCACAAAACAAGCTACAGGAACGTAGAAGACTTATCAGCAAAAATATGGATGCTCTCTGTGAATTCCCAGTGCTTCTCCCCTCTAGCACCCTTGTTCTTAATGTCTGCTTGAGATTCTCTGAGCATTTGGAAACAGAAGCAAGTAAAACGTCTCAGTGCTCCTTGAAAACGAGGAATTGCCACCATTCCTGTCTCAGGTGGATAACTTTGGAGAGGTTTAGCCACACTTATACTCTAGGACACAGCAGAGTCAAGAATCCAGACATCCTAACTATTGCACTGATAGCTGAATAGTGCATATCTGTTCATTCTTGCCTTTGACCAAAGGAATGCCAGCGTGTAACCTACACATCACTATGTAGACTTATTTCTCAGTTGCACTAATTGAATTAGATACTTTGTTGGAGTGCATAGGCATATATTCATTGTTGTCTGGGGAGCTCGCCTGTTTTTTCTTTATTTTATTCTTGCTGAAGGCAAATGAAATATTTTGGTTCCCTGTTCTAAGCAGGCAAGTAGATACTGTGCTTGAATTGCTATGTTACTTTGCAAGCCTTGGTTAAGCATGCTAACCTCAGCATGCTAATGCACTTATTACTTACATGGTGCAATTCCTATAAATGCAAAGTATTAGGCATTTGTGAACAAGAGGAAACATGCCTTTTCACACCTCTGCCTTGAGAGCTGAATTGTTCATGCTCAATTTCTCTCTGACTTAAGCATGGTGTCCTTATGTACACCAGACACTTGCAGTAGCTGAACAGAAAGGTCAGGCAGAAGGGCAGAGATAGTGTCCCATGTAAAAAAAGAAAGGACAAGAAGGACAAAAAGTAGTTCTATTTTCCTCTCTAGTGTTGTCAGGGAAAGGCTGGTGAGGATTACTAACAGGCTATTACTGATGGGTCATGTGAGCGTGAAATAATGGCTAAATGAGGTCCCTGACATTAGGAATTGGAGATGTGAGTTTTAAGCAGTCAGTCTCACTGTTGTAGAAGTTGCTTGGTTTTATTCAAGGACTTCATTATCCAAATGTTTACTAGGCAAGACAAAATCAAAGCCTACCATTTAAAGCCCAGATGAAATGATTAAAATTAAACACGTACTAGATAAGGTTGCAGAGTGTCCTAATAGTTTTGTGCTTTCTGTACTGCTTTCTCTCTCCAAAGGTCTCCAGCACCTTGCTGAAGAGCAGTAGTATATTTGCCGAGATATGCCTGGAAAAAAATATCTAGACTCCACTACCTAAATGAGAAGAGGTATCTTAAGATGTGTTAACTGTGTTTTGTTATATTTTGTTATGGCTTTCATTCATTATTGCACAGAGCGCCAGCTGGCACAGGATTCAGTGATGATTAGTAGGCATATACATAATTACTTGAATGATAATTAATGCAGCCATAGGCTTTTTCCAGCACAAGATGTCCTGTTTTTAATGCACAATGGTATGCTTATTTAATTCCTTTTGCAGGATAGCCTGGCAATTGAGGGATTTGGCTCAATCTCCTGCTGCAGCAGATCAGTGCAGCTCTGAAGTCAGTAGAGGCAGGGCGATTGACACCAGCTAAACATCTAGTTCATGAAGTACAGGTTCATTAAAACATGCTGTAAAAAGGTGGTGTTATTTAAGGATCTGGAAAAATTCTTTCTAGAGGAATCAGTTGGGGTAAGACTGGAAAGCTTTGCTGCACTGGTGGTAGCATGGAGCACCTTCTTTGCATGAAGAACTTGATGCCAAATATAGTTGTTCTGAGTTCCTCTGCATCTTTCTGTCCTTTTCCTCCTCAGTTAGTACTTCACTGGATGTAACTATTAATGGGACCTACTTTTCTGTTCCATAGTACACAATAATTTAAATAACTGTTAAAAGACCAACTGCATATTTTTAACCCTGGTAAGTATGGAGCTGAAATCTATTCGTAGATCAAAACTTGTAAACCCAGGGAACACTTAGATGAAAGAATCAGACTTTCCCATTAATAGCTATATCCAGTGAAGTAATGACTGAGGAGATCTACACTTATCAGGGTTAGCAATATCCAGTTAGACATTCAACGGTTATTTAAATATTATCATGTACTCTGGAACAGATAGATAGCTGAATATTTTTTAAATATTCCCCTCTCCCCCTAAAATGTGAGAGGAATTGGATTTCCCTCTGGCCTGCACAACTTTTGTTTGTAGTACTGAAGGAACATTCATTTGAGCAAGGATTTTGGAATGCATTCACTGTTTATTTAGCATGGGAGCAACAACTCAGTGCAAGTCAGCCAGCCTCTGCAAAGAGACAATTTTGGCACTTATTGCACCCCAGTCAAGGAGTATTCTGTATTCCCTGGGTTTCAGTAAACACTGACACCCCTGGAGTTGGGCACTTCATACAAGATCAAGAGACACCTAAAACACTGAGAGAACAGATCTCAGGGAAACAGATGTAACCTGGGACTGATGGGCAGTAATCAGTGAGCTTCTCTTTTCATAGAGCTCAGTCTTGTAGGAAACAGAATTCTGCAATGGCAAATGGCAAAAATGTAGGAAATTATGGACATTTATCTGCTTCTGGCACTACTGAACAAGACAGACATACAGGAAAGGGCAACTTTCCCAGCTGCTATGTGCATTTCTGAGAAATTGTGTTCTATTCTGAAGGTGAGATTGTGAAGATATTCACTCTTTTGAAGCTAATAGAGGAGGTTTAATTCTTACCTACATGGAGGAGTTTAGGATTGCCAGGAAATGAGTACGATCACATCTGTGGTAGAAATGCTTTATGATTTGAAGAAATTGGATTCATAAGGACTCTACGTTGTGACAATAGGAGAAAATGTATTCATGTAACTTTGAGATAATCTGTGTTGCTTACTTGTGACCAAGCATGAATAATGTGGCATTTTCAGAATTATGCTACTAAAAGACCTTTACCGTGTTACTTCATATGCTCCCATTATTTACTGGTGCGTAGGCAATTGCCATGTGGCAAACTGCTGAGCTATGTAAAGCCTAGGCCTGTGGAGTGTTCCTGCTGCTATGGCTAATACTGTATAGTATATCTTACTAACCAGAACTCCCTTAGTAAATATTAATTCTTTGCCTGATTTCAACCAACACAGCTTTTATGTTACTAAAGCTGTACCCATTGCAAATCTGATTGAACATGTTCTTGTGTAATTGAATCACAGAATATTATAGTCATGAGCAAGTTGCATGCATCAGCCCACAGCAGAGTTTTATATAGCTGGCCCTGCTAGTCCTCTCCTGGGCAATGTGAAAGCATTCTCTACCTAGAAATAATCACTTAGCTTTCTTTTAGCATCTCCAAGTTATGAACGCCCCCTGGAAATAGCACTGATAATAAACAGATTATTTCCTTCATCTTCAGTGAAACTTTGTATTGCCTTACTGAACTTTGCCCATCTCTTGAGTTACTTGAAGAGACTGTATGACTATATTCTTAAAGCATAAACTATACCTAACTT